GGAGAAGTAAAAAGTTGATTGGATACTCTAGGACAGTGGTTCTCAACCTTCCTAATGCCGCAACCTTTTAATACAGTTCCTCATGTTGTGGTGACCCCAATTTCATTGTTACAAATTGAACATAATGAAAGCATAGTGATTCATCACAAAAACAATAGGTCATTATATATGTGTTTTCCGATGGTCTTAGGCGACCCCTATGAAAGGGTCATTCGCCCTCCAAAGGGGTCGCGACCCACAGGTTGAGAACCGCTGCGCCATGCCCCAACCCATCATATCAGCCAATCATAAACCAGACTCCGTGGTTTCTGCCAAACTACTCACAGGAGGTGGCCTCGAACCCAAGAAGCTAAGCCATGCCCCTGCCCAGACCTGGCAGCTAATGAGGGCCTAGCCCCACTCTAACTGCGCCCTAGAGTGCTCATCTTCTAGCCTTCAATCTACAATTAATAGGCCAATCATATTTGAGGGCACAAACCACACCTCCTCCGGCAGGCCATTTCCCTCCACATTCTAAGCCACGCCCCTACACTGTCATTCAGGATTTCAGATTTTATGTCTTCTCAAACCACATCCCACTCCCACCACCATATATCCCCTTACTTCAGCGGTTCTCAACCTGTGGGTCATGACTTTGGGGATCCAATGACCCTTTCACAGGGGTCGCCTAAGACCATCGGAAAACACATATATAATTACGTATTTTGTTATGATTAATCACTATGCTTTGATTATGTTCAATTTGTAACAATGAAATTGGGGGGTCACCGTAACATGAGGAACTGTATTAAAGGGTCGTGGCATTAGGAAGGTTGAGAACCACTGCTTTACTTAACTGGCTCCAGTCTCTTCCCTAAATCATGTTCCTGATGGCCACACCCCTTCCTTTAGGCCACGCCCCTCTAACAAACAATGCAAGCCCCCCAATTTAAGGTTCTGCCCTAGCCATACCTCTGTCATTCACTAAAGCCTTGTCCTACCCTCTCCCAACCGGCCACCCAGTGAGAATGCAGAGCCAGCTTCTGACCCCATGCCCAATCGTAAAGCAATTCCCATCCTAAATAAGGGATGGACGACGACCATCACCTTCTGGTTGATGACTTCTGCCTCCTCCTCCAGGAGGGCCACCAGCCTCCGCAGCAAGGCTTCCTTCTCGGTGGGTGGGGGACCCTGTAACTCTAGGGGGACAGAAGAGAATTCGGTTGGAGGCAGAAACCTGGCCACCCTTCTGCCCCCATCTTTCTGCAGGGCCCCTCTGCCCGCACCTGGGCTCGGTGGGGATCGCAGTTGCTCTTGGACCAGCTGTTCCAGCCGCTGGGCCACAAGGGCATAGAAGTCTGGAGTCGCTGGGCCTGGGGTGAAAAGAGACAATGACAGGTCTCCAGGAGATCGGGAAGTGGTGGATTCTCTCCTCCCAACCACCCCGCCTGGTAGCGGTGATTTCCATCCCATAACGGGGTAAACTGCGGCTCAGCGAGCAAACCTGGCAAAAGACCCTTGTACTTTCCGCTTTATGGGGTCCCCCCAAATAGATTTAGAGCAGCGGTTCTCAACCTGTGGGTCGCGACCCCTTGGGCGGTCGAACAACCCTTTCACAGGGGTCGCCTAAGATCATCCTGCCTATCAGATATTGACATGACGATTCATAACAGTAGCAACATTACAGTTATGAAGTAGCCACGAAAATAATTTTATGGTTGGGTCACAACATGAGGAACTGTATTTAAAGGGCCAGAAGGTTGAGAACCACTGATTTAGAGTGTTAGAGCTGAACTGGACCTTGAAGAGGATCCCATCCAAGGAAGGCAAACACATGACACTCCAGCGATTACCACTCTATCCCTTGTCCATTTCAGGCATCACCGGCTGATCACAGAACTCTCTCTCTCACTTGGAAATCCTTTGCAAGCTGCACGCTCTATAGCCATTACTAGTCTATCCAGGCTCACACGAGAGGAAAGCTATTGGTCACTCTTGATCAAGTCCAATGACTCCTCCCCGCCATTCCTACTTTGCTACTGGATAAACACAGGAACAGGGAAGAGAAGGCTTTTCCAAGTCATGTAATCAAATAGATAAGGAGTTGTGATTGAAAACGGAGGGTAGGTGCTGGAGACCGCACACCGCTACCTAGATACCCTTAGCTGAGTGATCTTGAACTAATTCCTTATCCTGTGGATGTATTAAGAATCAAATCTCCCGCCCTGACCAGTTTGGCTCAGTGGCTAGATTCTCGGCCTGTGGACCGAAGGGTCCCGGGTTCGATTCCGGTCAAAGGCATGTACCTTGGTTGCGGGCACATCCCCAGTGGGGAGTGTGCAGGAGGCAGCTGATCGGTGTTTCTCTCTCATTGATGTTTCTGACTCTCTATCCCTCTCCCTTCCTCTCTGTAAAAAATCA